CTCCTCCCTTCTCCCTTTGCCTTCCCTCGGCTTCCCTTTCCCTGCGGGCCGCGCTCCGCGGGGCGCAGGTTCCGTGCGGGCGGGTCCCGTCCCGTCCCTTCCCGTCGGGGCGGTGCCGGCCGGCGGCCGCCATGGCGAGCCAGAGTGCCCTGCGCTCAGAGCCAAACTTTCGGGTTTTCCGGAAAAAACCTTTCTTCTTTTCGGGACGATCGTGCTGACCAGCGTGAGGCCGCTCTTGCTCGCCTGTGGCTTCTTGGTTTCTAAGTGGCTTCGGGTGACTAAAAGCCGAAATAACAGTAACAAATCCGGAGACGCGGGTTGCACACGGAGGAGGTGGGCTTCCCATGGGAGCAGCCTGCGGCTCAAAAGAGCCTTCAGCCCGAAGCAAGGAATGGTGTTTCTATTGCCGGCTACATTTTATTCCACGCTTTGCTTTAGAAACAGTTATTACTGAGTTGTAGGCAGTCCCAAAGCACACCAAAAAAAGAGACTAAGTAGATTGCAGTATTTGTGTACATTGACATTCACAGCTCAGGAGCAAAAATTCTGAAAAATAAGCCTTGTGTTTCTTAAAATTTTAAGCTAGTAAGGAGGGACCTGTTGCATCTCACAGCATGAGAGGTGGGCATCCACAGAGGTGTGTGAGCAGCTGGTTACATACAAGTGCACTTTGGCACCAGGCACTCTGGTAACCTGTGGTAACTCATGATAACCTACGATAACATTGGCAGCTACGTGCTGCCGTATTCCATGGCATGTCGGTGTTGCAGGATGACTCTGCTGATGGTTGAACCATAAACGTAACAACATTGCACCGAATTCCATCGTACAGATCCAGTGGGAGCAGGGGAAAAAGTGCTGTAATACTTTTTTTGTTTGAACTGATAAAGCGTGATTTGTCTTTGAGAAGAAACCTCACATCCCTGGCTGTCCCAATTCAAGTGTTCAGATAAGCACAAAGCAAGCATCTACAGCCCCCTGCAGCTGCACCAGACCCTCCACTTAGCTTTAGTGAGGTTCCCAGCCTGGTGGGAGGAACAGGGCCTAATATCTAACTATATTAATTCATTGCGCTCCATCCAAGCACTTGTGGATATAGAAACGGAATGAATTGTCTGGACCTGCAATAATTTCCATCCAAACCTAATAACTCAGAATATTTACCTTGTGGTCAAAACTTAATTTTTGAGCTTTTGAATTCTTTGTTTTGTGTCAGTGTGGGACAAACCCACATCTGTCAGAATAGGTGCCTAGATTGGGTTGACCCAGACTGTCTATTCCAAAGCCCTAATTAACAATCCTAAAATTCTGGCCTGGCTTCGTACCACTCGTGTTTTCCTCCTCCTACATGCTCTTCTGTATTTACAGTAACACACTGGACCTCTACACTGAACGTGATGCTGCTGCTGTGGTTGAGAAAGCAGGAGTTCAAGGGAAGACAAGGCAGATGCTGGAAGGAGAGACATAGACGTAGGAATAGTAATTAGATGGGATCGTGGTACCCTCAGCCCAAGGCTGACTTGCTCTTGCTTTTTCTGTCTATTTGCTTACTGCCATGGCTGGAGAAATCACACTGGGCTGGAGAGGCCATCAACTTTGACACATCTTGGTTGGTCTCTCATGTGCTCCTCTGCTACCATGAGTTTCTCCCAGAAAATCTTGGGCCTTCCTTAACGTCAGCTGCATCAAAGTCACTCAGCTGTTCAAAAATCCAGTTGGAAATTCCACCTGAGTGAGTAAATGCCTTTTAATATCAGCACTTTTTAGAGTCGTTCACGCCTTCCTCATCACCAGGAAGCATTTGTATGGCAGAGAGGTATTTGACAATGGGCTGTCCTGCCCATTGGAAGAGTTGTATTGTGTAACTGAATTAAATCCCTGCCCTATAAGCTGTGTGTCCCTGAGTTTATACACAGATTTCAAGGCTTTGATTTGATCGTGAGGAATCTCATAACTGGAGCTCTGAATTAACCTCTGAATTAACCTTCTTCCCACACCATGCTTTTGACCATAGGTGTGCATGGATATGTTTATATTTTAAGTTCCTGTGAGTGCGTTCTTAGGTCTAGAGTCAAGCAGGAAGAATGTGAGAGGGAAGAGCATCCCTTTGTTTCATGATATTTTGGGCACAGAGACCCTACAAATTTCCACATCAGAGCCACATAATTGCAGAATGAATCCTCCAACAGTTTTACTTAGAGCTTTGATGGCACTGATATGCATGATAGTCTTGGGGGAAAAGTTTTAACAAAAAACTTACTTGTGATTTGATTATCTTGGAGACCAGATAGTATAAAAGATTATAAAAGGGTGGGCTCAGTGAGCATGTAAAGACATATGAAATATTGGAGAAGAGTTAGCATGACTGTAATAGAGGGTAGTTAGATCTCAAAAATCAACCAGAGGGTAAGACTGCACTCAATACACAAATTGATAAGTTTTAACAGGAGTAGAGGTTTTGCTGTGATCATAGGTAGTTTTAAATGGGGAAAAGAAGAATTATGTAAGTTGTGTTGTAGGGGAGGTTGGCAGCTTGACCTGACCATCTTTTCATAAAGGATGTGTGAAAGGAGATTAATAGTAACACAGTAACAATGGAGAATTGTTATTGTCATATTGTTGTATGACATATTCATGGCAGCCATATTTAAGGCTGGCTACCCAAAGTAAAACAAAAATGTTACCATGTTTCACTGATAGGTAAGTGAAAAGATGCTAAATTGATAAATGAAATTTTAAATTAATATAGTAATGGAACTAACGTGATACAAATAGAATGGCAGGCTCTAGCCTTGTTAGAAGAAGAAGAAGCCTTGTTGAGAAGAGATTTTATATAGATCTCTGCAAATGTCTTGAGCTCAGTGACTAATCTCAATCAAAGGGAAATAAAACAGCAGTAATTCTTTTGAAAGAAACAGCATCAACCTCTTAATGTTTAATGTTATACTCTCTGAACCACCATATATTGAAAAGGATATATTTGCAATTCTGTTAAGCTATTTCATAAATTGAGTACCAGAAGCAAAGAAAAGCAGAAGGTCCAAGAAAAGCAACAAAAGATTGTAGCTATGAAGACTAAGTGGACCGGATTCTTGAACTTGGGAAAAAAGAAGGAGTATGTTAGAGGTATACACAATTGGTAATGATACAGAGAAGATGAGCTGGGGAGGACTGCATGCTTTCTCATAATCTAAATATCAGAATAATTAGATCTTGGTATTAAAAGCAGTTTCACCTTTGGTTCAGAAAGTTCTAAAATGCTAATGGTTGGAAGCTAAAAGAGATTATACATGTTTTTATGGGTAGGAGGGATCATTCAATAATTTATGATTTCAACTATTTTTCTGTAAAAATCAGCTACTTTCTACTGCTGAGATAGCAAACTATTGAGATAGAATGGCAAACCAGTCCTTACTACTTCTTTTGGTAGTTCCAAGTGCTTTTCTGTCTGGCTGTGCTCAGTTCTGCACTACACACAAAGCAACATAACACCGACAAAGGGTTTGGAAGACATGGAAGCTGCTTTTCCCTGAGCAGTGGGATGGCGCAACCTTTGTTAGTCGAGTAACCAAGAACCTGCAGCCAGATGTTTATGTTGGAAGCATCGTTGGATGTGGAATTTGCTTCCTTGGTAGGCCACCTCAGAAGACAGAGGCACAGCATATATTTTGGTCAGGGGTTTCTGTTACTGTGCATTGTTAATAAAATGTGTAAAATGTGCCTAATTTAGGTTGGGCGTACTAATTACCTTAAGAGTACCTGAACAATAAACAACAATGACCCTTACTGAGAAACTAATTAGCTTTGAAAATTTGGCTTTCTTAATCATCAAAGAAGATGGGTTAAAGCTCATCTTTAATTTAGAGAATAATTATTATCAGTGGTCTGAAGCTTTCCACATTACTCATTCCCACATGAGGGCTGGATTGACTAAGGCATTGGAGCCTATAGCCTTGCACTTTTGCACTTCTGTTTTTCTCCTATTAAAATGCAAGCATACTCTGAAATTTAAGATTAAATCTCCAATTTTGAAACTGTTATCATTTAAATGTTTATCCAAATTTTAATTTATATCAGTTTTACATCACAGAATAAAAAAAATGCACTTTCTGTACTTAAGCTAGCTTTTCTTGTTTCCACTTAGTAATTCACATTATTATTCTTATATGAAAACCACTATTTGCCTAGCAAAAAGTGTACTTTTTATGATCTGAGTATACCTGTTGTC